AAAAACACTTTCATTGTAAGTTCTTTTTCTTATTAAATCTAATTTTTGTAGATCAACTCTGTAAATGCTGAGTGATAAATAATATTGATATCTGGTTTTATACTGGTTTAACTTATGTCTATGAAGGCATAAGGAAAACCAGAATTTATAAATGTAGTAAAATTGTGATTTTTAATTGTTAGAAGTTATAAATTTCTATCAAGGCCACAGATCATTTCTATTAATTAATTAGCAGCAATAGTTTACTGCTAATCAATAAAAAAATTAAAAATACCATAAACAAGAAAAACTAATGCAATATCAAACTGGATGAAGTTAATTAATTAATATAAAAACAAAAAAAATCTTTATAATGCAGAATTTAATTTTGGATACAGAAATGTTCTTGATTAGCATAACTAGCCACTTTAAAACTTGAACCACATGAGATTACAAAACTAAAAACATTGCTTCAAAATTATTCAAACATAGCATAAGATTTATTCTAATTGTACTGAAATATATTATAAAATACTAGTATTAAAATTAAACAAATAATAACAGCACTAGTAATAATATTAAAAATAAAACAAACATTACAATTACAAAATACATAGACTCAATCCCTGTAATTTTTGCAACCTCTTTTACACAGAGCTTAGCCAAATTTTCAGAAATTCTGAAAATATATAAGGTTGCAGATCACATAATTATTGAGGCATTTATAATTATTTTGGCCTTGTTTGAATAATTCTGAACTACTGTTCTAGAATTCTGTAATCTCATGTATTTCAAGCCTGATGATTGGTAGTTAACTAGCCAAAAAGCATTTGTTTATTCAAAATTAAATGCTGGATCATAAAGGTCTTTTGTTTTTATATAAACAAGAATTCTTCAGAAATATAAATTCAAATGTAATTTTGAAATGGAAGTAGGAAAGAAACTATCTGAAAGATATAACAAAAGTTTAAACTATTATGATATTCTGTAAGAATTTCCAGAATAATTTAGAAGTTTTATTTTTGATTTTCGACTTTTTCTATTCTTTGTGCACAAACTCATATCTTACCAGAGAAGTAATTTGTAATAAATAATTTTGATAAAGCGAATAAGCCAAGTCATTAAAATATGTATTGTAATAACCATAACATACAAATCACTGTAATCAAAATATTTATTTCTTCAAATATTCAAATTACTACTTTTTCCTTAAAAATTAAGGTATATATAAGACAATAATTTAAAATGTTTTCTTAGTATTGATATTAGTATTATAAGCCAAGTTACACTAATTTTTCTTCATCTTAAAAATGTTAGCTATTTTAACCTTGTTAAAATCAATGTTCTAATATTTTTATTAACTTCAAGGATAGATAATCATTAACTTCAAGGACTTAAACACTTTAAAATACTTTTAATATTTTAAAAAGCATACAAATCACAGTTAAAATACACTGTTTTAAAATGTTTAAATTTTAAAATAATAAGCCAAAAAACTATTAAATCAAACTATTAAATACGTATTGTGATTATTAATTCTTTCAAACTTCAGGGAATTATTATGTAATTTATTTTTCCAATATCACAATTCTTGTAATGCATTCTTTATAAAATTTCATTCTTTTTTTCTATCACGGCATTCTTTATATTAATATTGCAAAATTTTCTCTGATTATTCAAGAATTTTTCTGAATTTGATTACATTATAGAGGGTATTATACTCAGTACTATTTAAAAGTTATGTATAAAAAAATTTTTTTATATGTACATACAGTATTTTGTGTGTGTGTGTGTGTGTGTGTGTGTGTGTTAGCACTGGTACACCCAGGGGTGGGCCAAGAGGTCCTGCCATCCCAAAAGTAAAAAGGGTAAAAAAAAAACACTAAAAAACTTTCCAAAAATTTTTCCTAATTAAAAGTCATTTTTTACTTATATTGTGTCCTGTCCTCTATTTCTATACTACTGTACTTATGAATTGGCAATCACATAAGGTGAGAATTTTATTAAGTTTTCATTAAAAATTTTTTTATCCATTCAACTCAACTCCACCAAGATTAAATCTCCAGTGCACTACTGGCTGCTGGAATATCTTTCAATTAACCTTTCTTCCCAGACCTGTAAGTGTAAAATCGCAATCTCCAATATTGATTTAAATACATTGATTAGATGCATTGTATCACATCTATCAACTCTCAGCTATAAAACAGATCATTAAAAATTCATAATGGGTAAATAATCCAAAAAATAAATAATAAATAAATAAACAACATCAAACTATAGATCTATATAAATGAAATTATGCAAATATACAAATTAATTAACATAGTATACAAGATAAACACCATTTAAAACTTAAGCAAGGATTGTTTTTTTTTGCCGTAACTCCACAAGAAATCACCCGGGAGACAAGAAATTCAAAATATGGAGATGGTACTTTGTACTTTAAAGGACGAATAAAGTATACTAGTGCAAAATGAATAGAACATATACAGTACAGAATCAAAGCCACCTTCTAATTGTAGTCTTGCACCGTGCGCAAGCTGCACGTGTTTCGCATGCCCTCACGCCACCATGACGTCTTCTTCCCGCATACAAATCATCTTTCTACCGAATTGGGTGTTCATAGTATCAATGGCAATAGGCCCTTTTCTACAATTTTGTGGTCATTTGCACGCCAGTGTATATAGAATATTAAACACTGAAATAGTTTATCAAAACAAATTTATTTTAAAATATTGACACTATTTGCAGTCATTGACTTGCACTTAAAGTAAACAAAATCCTGAAATTAAAAAAAAAAAAAATAACAACAACAAACAAATAGGAACGTCAAAGTTGTTAACTTAATGACGTCGCAAAACTTCTGGTTAAAATTCCATGTAAAAATATAAATACAAAAATTTATGAATACAATTAAATGAACATAAATAAATGAACTCCTAATCAACATTAAATGATAATTAAGTAAACATTTTTAATTTTAATTCGCTTTAATTATCAATTTTAATTTTAATTCACTCGATTCAAATTTAGAAAATATATTTACCTTAATATAGCACGGTTTCTCCAAACAACTGCCTACAAACTAACTTAAAATATAAAAACAGAAATAAAAACTTTAAAAGATGTAACTACGCCATATTAATATATCCGGAACTGACGAATCAACAATCGGTTGCCATGGCAGCATCATCATCGCTAAGAAATTTTGGAGCGAAGAGCCATTGGGCGACGATCCTTATCCTGATTATATTTTCCTCGTTCGTGGTTTAATCGTCTCGATATTTCTAAGGATAAATCATTCGTAAAAGGCATCGTAATGATTCGTGACGTCATACATAACGGTATTGATAGAAACACGAAGATTTCTATTTTTGTTTTCGACGTTTCGCTGGCGTAACGACAGGCCATTTTAGCCAGAATATGTTTTTATTACTGTAAACAAACTGGCTGATAGAATATCTTATATATTATAAAAACGGCGGCATTTAAATATGAATTCAATTTATAAAGAATAGAAGATTTTCGACGAATAAGAGAAAACACTACATTAATCAGCGCTTACAATACAAAACGTCTAATCTAGACCCCGAGCAAGCGTTAATGTCAATTTCTTCCGCACCGTGGCGCATATGCAACGTCAGCTTTTTCGGCCGATCCGAAGAGTAACTAGCACGTTTATCATTGTTTATCATAATGTCTACGTCGAGGAACTCGTTATACGTTAGATAAAATGGAATGTTACAGTGAAATGTAATGAACGTGGTTTAAAATATAATAGACAAAGTTTAAATAGGATATTAAGGCAAGCAAGCATGTAAAGGACAACGGCAGTGACAAAAATATTTAAGTATTGGACGGGACACTTTAAATGGCACATAGGTTAAAACTTACGACAAAATGTAAATACTCATACATTGATTAATCATTAATTCATCAAAAAACCACGTGGTCAGGAGAACGACAAAGAAAAATGAAACTTGTTATGAACGGAAGGATGGACGAAAGTCGGTTTAGGCAGAGTTCGAATGTCGAGTTAGGGCGATTTGCCAGCCACTTCAGAGTGAGAAATGTGTTCGATATTCTTGCACGTGTAACATCATTTATTGGTCTAAACGAATAATAAAAATCGACATAGGGATTTGTCTGCTTTGTAATCTTCGAGGTGTAATTTTTCAAACAGTTTTGCTTTTTTTTTTTTAATAAATGACTTATAAAAAAAAAGTTACACCTAAGCTACACTATAGAGCTGTTAAGATCATAAATTACGTCATAAATGCCAGAATACCGAATATCTCCCATTCTAAAGTGGCTGGCAAATCTTCGTAACACGACCTTTAAACTTTCACCACTATAAACGCTGTTGTTATAATCGTTTTAAGTTTATTTTTTGTTACTACTGTATTACGGTTCTTGTCGAATGAATGAATAACTCGGGAAAAGTTTATGGTTTTTTGATACCGCAAACTTAATTTAATTCCAACAATAACACAGAAGTTTAATAACATTAATATGTCATTTAACTTATCTTCATTTTAAAATAATAATAGTTACGAATAAAGCATTCATAACTTGTAATTATGACCAGAAAATACCACAAAATAAAATTTTCGCTATTGGCGCTGTTTTCCGCAGCGGAATAAGTTAGAACTAATGCTCGCTCGTTGTTTACAATACGAAGCCTTCTTCTAAATACTGTACAGTACCTGTAATACAAGGTTCAACTGCATATCAGTAATGGCGCCACTCTAGTGGTAAGATTTTGTATCATTGATGTTTATATTATTATTATTATTTATAATATAAACAATATTTTAAAATAAAATCTCATAACAGATAGCACCGCACATAATTTTAAACACATGCCGGAAAAGTTACGCAACTCGTTGCTGGATTTTTATATTTGAAAACATGGCAGTTTAAATAAGTGTGATAGTAAATTTAAGATAGAGGCCTGTAATTGATAAACATATTTCTACATACAGTAATTCCATAAAACATTTTATTTCAATGTGTTGATAAATAATACACGTAAGGGCAATTTCAAATATTTTTGTAAAATGATTGATTATCTATTATTGTATCATTTAATAAGCGAATAAATCAATGAGGATAAATTTTAAAATTATTTTTTACGTTCACAATTGCCTGTTCCAAAAAACCAATCACTTTTAGATCTACAATGAAATCCAGATTTACAAGGACAGTAATTGTTCTTCAGAGTATTGCACCAATCTCCTTCTTTTCCTAAAGGTACACACTTCCCTGTAAAAATATATATTTAATTAAAACATATTTTCCAACGTTTTTAAGAAAATCAAATTATTTAATAAAGAGGTTTTCAGAGAAGTATATTATGGGGGCAAACTTAAAGCGTTTAAGACTTAAAAGTTAGTCTAGTATTTATAATTTTATTGAATTTATAAAGATTGAGTTAGTTTGAAGGAAAACTCCAAACTGAAAATTAGAAAATCATGTTTCTAAAATAAAATCAATGTTTGATAATGGTTTGATATTACTGTATGATTTCTCAGATGATGTTAATGATGATGACAACAATGTCTAAATGTTAAAATTAAATTTTATACTTACAGATAACCGAGGTTGGAAAAGGATAAAGGAAAACTGTGGATGAAGCACAGCATTCGTTCTTCTTACAATCATCATCAGATGAACATTGAATTTCTTCTTGTGATTCTTGATTACTCTAAAATAGTTACCTTCGTTTAATTACGCTTTTAATTAAATTCACTATACATGTTCAAATCCTTTGTACTATAAATTAATGAAATGAAAATAATTAGAGAACTTACCATTGGCCAAGAATAAGATGGAAGTAACATTGAGAAAATTAACAGAATAAAAACGCTTTTCTTCCTCATGATTTAAATGCTTTAAAAATCTGAAAATCGTCATTTTAATTTTTATTATAGAGAAATTACAAAATATTTGATTACATACATAATTTTTCTATAATTACAGTCCATTAATATAGATAATATTGCCAATTTTTATTATTAATATAATGTTAAGTATTGTATTTAATAATTCTTGAAAATTCCGTAATAGTGAGTCTGCAGGTATACAGAAAATCTATCGGTAATGTAAAGTTTAATTATATTTATTTAGTTGATTACATACATTATTAAATACATTTCGGGCCGACTTTTTATTACGGCCTCTCATCAGTAACTAAAATTGTTAAGGATTAAGTATACGTACAAAATTAATAAAAAAAGGATAATAATCGAAAAAAAAATTGACTAAATAATCTGTAGTCTTACTTTTTATATTTAACAAAATTTCATTTAAAATGTAATCCATTATTCAAATATGTTTCGCAAGATTTCTATCGAACGATGCATTAAATTACTATTAAGGTCGTTACGAACAGACTTAATCCGAAACGAGAACGTCAAACATAGATGAAAGATGGAGAACAAAGATCTAAACGAAATTATCTATCTGAATGACAAAAGTTTCTTTATAAAACCAATCTATTACAGTTGAAAGAGAATCTCTTAACGAGCGGCCATTCTAGCCTCCTCTTTTGTAGAAATATGCATTATTCTATACGAGGTATTTCAAAAATAAAATGTTTATTTTAATTAGATATACATAAAGAATTAAATACTATTTAACACTTTTGTTGTGATAATGATACATACTTCTTAATCTAAATTGAGAAAAAAATTTAAGAATATTATTTACCTGTTTAAACTGAGAAATGTACAACAGATGTGCAAATTCTTGTATTTACGTCAGACGCTATTTTATCAACATTTTAAAATAAAGTTAACATTATTGATAGGTAGAGATATGAATAACTATCATCGCAAAGTTATTAAATTAATTATTTAATTTTTTTCAGTATTTTTGTTCTCTCGTTTAGACCTATATTTTCTTAATTTGGTTTATTTTTCTTACTCTTTAATTTTAATGGATTTGAGAAAGAGTCATATACATGAAAATATATTTCTAATATTGGAACAGATTTAAATTTCAAACTCTAAAGCAGTGTTTTTCAACCGCCAGTCCATTGACTGGTGCCAGTCTGTAGAAGAATATTTGACCGTACCGACGCTGGCGCAATTGATTATGGGTGACATTTAAATAGTTATTTAGATTTAATGCACATATTATGTTACGTAGAGTAACTCTAGTTAATCTAGATAAGCATACATAAGAATAACGAGCAATTATTTATTGTGACATCGTCGCAATGCCGGGCAGCAATTTTTAATCATATTCTTAATTTATTTAATTTAAAATATATGATCTCCACTTCAGATTAGTACTGTAGTGTCTTGCCCCTGTATGTCATACTTTTCTGTTAGCAATAGATCATCTATCTAACACTTTTCAGGGGAAAATGTTTGAATTGAAGTAAAGTAACTTCGAGTTTGCACCAGACATTCATATAGACTATATATAGTTAATCGGGGCCTATTACCGCAAAAGTTTCCAGGTATCTTCTCGGATTTTATCTATCTAATCATTCTAATGCCGTTCTCAAGATTTAGGAAAGATGGCATACAGGCAAACGGACAACAGTGGGAATTTATAGGTTTACAATTTGAAAAAATTGCAACCCAATAAATTATTATAGCAAATATGTTGGCTTTAAAACTTATCAAACTTCGAAGTTTCGAGGATATTCTGATGGATTTCGAGGATACCTTCTTACTTCGCCAGGCCAACGTTATAAAGATGAAAGATAAACGGAATTAAAAAAAACAGCTTATTTAATGTTCTAAAAAAATATTTAATATTTCCGCGACACACCTGAGGCACTCTCGCGATATAGTTGTGTCGGGGCACGCGGGTTGGAAAATCCACTGATCTGAGGAATATCCTCACAATATTTCGCAAATGTTCACCCTCACCTGTGTCACGGCGACTCTTTCAGGCCAGACATGTGAGCTTAAAATCTGATACCATGTAATCTAACGAAGCTCCCAATACTTTTATTTATTGTGTTTTTAAATTTAAACATAATGGTAAATGATTGGAGAATGTAAAAACTGTTTTGTAACTCTCCATGAACACATATGTAAACACTGTAAAGCAAAGACAGATTAATCATAGATAACATAGAATTATAATGTACTCAATTTGCAACTATTTTCCTGTTAGGAATAATAATCTAATAGGAGGTCTCCTACTGGCGTTACTCCTATAATTGTTCTTTCTACTTCGCTCTGTATTTGTCGTGTTTATCAGAGAATACAAGGTATTCGGATGTGCGAAGACAAATGCTTCTTTTCTATCTACTAAATTCTAGGCAGACGTCGCTAGTATGCACTAAAACAAGTGTGTAGACATCGTTAACGAATTTGCAAGTCACGTGATTTGGTGATAAGATTATGATTCGTAATGGAAAATCGGACATTTACGAATTCAGATACTGAAGAATTCTTCCATAAATCAGTTATAACTGAACTGAAAACATCCGCTGACAGTACTTGTTGGTGCTTTAGGAGAACGGCGCTATACAGACGAAGGTTATACTGTATTAAAGTTTGATTATATCCTTCTCGTACAAAGATATTGAAATTAAAGTTTATATTTAAGCTATGAAAGTGCATAGCCTAATAAATTTCTTCTTATTTCTGATTAATTCTCTCGAAATATTCTTTTGTTTTCGAAATTATTGAAGAAAAATTATAACACTCAAGAACCGACCAAAGAGTGATTTAAAATATTTTAAGTTCTTTTGAGGGGTAGAAAACGAAATTTCTAAAATTAATTAAGTTCTGTGGACAACAAAGAATTGTTGACGCGCGCCAACAATACCTTTCTTTTTCGATTATTATTTCGAAGCGCTTTTGTTGGAGAGTTTTCTTGCGATTTTTGAGAATGAGTGAAAAGAAGAGTTTTTGGAGATGGATTGGAAGGATCTTCGGACGAAGACCTCCAAGAGAAGAGAAGGTTGAGGAGAGAGAGGAAGAAGCGAATGATTCTCTTCCGGACGCAGAAGTCTGTGGGCTTCCGCCAGAATCTTCGGAATATCCGAAGGATCCAGAAGATGAAGGACTTCCGTCAGAGTCTTCGGAGTGTCAGAAGGATCCAGACGTCAATGGGCCTTCTTCGGAGTCTTCAGAGCATCCTCCCGAACGTACAGAGCGGGAGAATACCAAGATTCATTGGGACGAAGCCAAGCTAGCAAGACTCAGAGAGGCTTTTATGAAGTACGAAAAGGAGCTGGAAATAAAAGCCAATTCCCAGCGCACAGTGTCCAGAGGTCCGCCTGCAAATAAAGAGAAGTCCAAGATAGGCTGGAACTTCCCTTTCTGTTGTTTCGGCAGAGGCGAGAAATCCAAAACCGATGTTTATTCAAACAACCTTCAACAATATTGCAACCAGGGATACGATAGCCAATATCTGAGTAAGTGCACATTTTGGCAGATTGCGCGTTCTCTTCATTCGATTTTTTCTTTGACGAAAAATTTAATATTGGATTTAATTTTGCAGACATTGCAGAGTAATTCGAGAAAGAAATTGGCGTACCTTTTGAGAGAAGAAAGAGGGATCTTCTGGCGCAGTATCTGGTTAAAGCAGGCGCCGGTCAAGTGGAAAGCATTTTATCGATTTGTGACAGACTCCCGGATTGGACATTTAACCCGGACTTGACAGTAACACTCGGATTTGACAAATAACCCGAATGTGACAGTTTGCCACCGATATATGACGTTAAAATCCCGGATGTGACGGAAGGATGATACGTAAATGGATATTCAAATGTAATACAGCAATCACTTCTGATGTTTGTTGTTTAAAGATAAATTCTGTCTCTTCATTTTACATCATCCAATGAACTGATTTTGACAACTTTAAATAGATTGTAAAGCCATAAATTTCGAACTCGTATTTAACTGTATTTATAGATGAATATACAGTATAATAAAAATGATATTCTGTATTATCTGCATTCTGTGTAATTTTTAATTCTAATTTAAGTATCTGGAAGGAAAATATTCACCACTGTAAAACATGCAATTTTGAAGAATTTTGTTTTTATTTTTCATATTGCGACATAAAAATTTCATTTAATATCAATCAAATGAACGGATAGACCAAATTCGTGTCAATTTGTTGGGAGTAGATTTTAAGTAGCGTTTATTTGGCGATTTAAAATTTTTTACACGCCAGAATGATTTTGTTCCTAAATTACTTGTAATTACAAGTTTTCTATGTATAAAAATTTCAACGTATATTGTTTGAATTTCGTATATTTCATATCGATTGGATTGTTTGTGTACGGCAACGCGACACGTGGGCGATCTCCTGAGAGGGATGACTTCCGAAAAAACTTTCTATGGGAGACTGCCCATAAGTGTTACAAACGGGAAATTCCACATGGGTTGATTTTGACGAGTCTTGAACCCATAACCAACTAATTACCAGTGTTCAGTGGTTTTATCCGCTTGGCCACTGTTGGATATATTTTTATGTCAAATTAATGAATTTCTGTTACTATATTTCAATGACAACAGTCATTATTTATGCATTATTTTTACTCAATTATGTAATTTCTGATATCTTCATCTGTATGTATTATTTGTACTCATTGCTAAGTTGACTAGCACAAATAAAGACGTTTATTTAATTTAAAATATAAATATGCTTCGTAGCCTATATGAGTGTTTTCGACTTGATTCATTACTTTATAAATACGTTTTACAAATCTTCAGACTCGATTTTCTCATTTAAACGTCAATTCGTAATTATATTAACTATAGAAAGTCCGAAAATTTCTCAGGATATCAGTGGTCACGTGGCTGATATGAGTGACAGCGAAGCGGACCACGTGACGCGTTTTATATGTGCCAGATAGAGCGCCCGCCGTCCAACGTGATCCTTCACGACGGACACGAGGTCAGGATGGTGCGGAGTCGGTAAGTAGTCGTACGGTTTTTTTGTTTATAGCGTTTTTAATATGGGTCGGCAGCAACAAGGTACAGTAATACCCCGAACTTACGCGATAGGTGGGACCGAGCAATAACCGTGTAAGTCGAATTCGCGTAAGTCGGGATATAATTTCACAATTTGTGTAAAATCTAAGTCGGATGTATGTAAGCTAATAAATGTTCTCGTTAATCTTATCTCGTCTTTTGATTCGTTCCCGGTTACAAGAAATCACCACATAGAGTCTCTCGAGTCTCCGTAGATATAACAAACACAGAAATAAATAACACAAACTAAATTGTGGCTTTGTGTCGATTCTGCGCGACACGTCCGAACATGTAAGCTGAACAATAATAAGGGGGAGTGAGTAATTAAGAGCTGCGTGACGCTCAAACAAAAGACGAATCGACGAGATTTGAAAATCGCGTAACTCCGGGTTCGCGTAAGTCGAGGTATTACTGTTTGTCATTCGATCCTACTGATGTTTAGATCTAACATTAAGCAGGCAAACACGAACAGTAACAAAAAAGAACTTTATTAGAAAAGGTTAGAACTGTCACAGACATCCTCGGGCAACACCCGGACAAAATCCAACGAACTTTCGCGCCTTTTCTTTTTTTGACGTTGCCAGCGACTCTTGTTGGCAAGTGTTGCCAGACAGAGTTCGTGATCTTGGCAAGTGTTGCCAGACAGTGTTCAGGATCTCTGGCGCTGGCGGCCACAACTGTATATTTGTTTTGCAAATGGCTCTCAAATACGTCTGTTTATGAAAAAAAAAAAAATTGAGAAAGAAAGCGGTGCTGCCGTTTCTATAGTACTAATTTAGTTATGTATATCATTACAGAAAATCCTCTTAGTTCGAATTCAAGGGACGAATTAATCGCGACTTCGAATTATTCGAGATTTACATATATCTGTACAATATGTCAAATGACATGTAACTGATGTATCAATAATTTATTAAGTAAAAATAATACGAATTCGTATACAGACGCTATTTTCGTCAATTAATAATAATATAAATGTGAAGGTAAACAGCACGTGTCTGGTGAGAACCTTACAGGTTTCCAGATAAGTTTTATAAAGAGTAAAGCAGAATTCCTCGAAATATAGCCCAAATTATTTTTAAAGTGGCCCAAAAAGTAGTAAGACGCCGAAATGTAGCAGCTAGAGCCCTACAAATATCTCAATCTGTTACTTGTGGCTCAATCTTGCAATCTCGAAAACCAGCTGTATTTTATGAGATTAGAGAAAAAAGGGTAGTTCGCAGGTGTTTGTTTGTTTGTTTTGTTAAGTTACGGCAACGCGCAACACTTGGGCGATCTGCCCAGGAGAAATGCCTTCCGAGAGCTCTTTTTAAGGGTAACTTGCCTGTATTTTAGAAGGGATTTTTCGAAATTTTCCCGCGGTGGGGAGAGGGAGAGCATTAAGGCTTAACCGGAAAAACGGCTTCTACTGTGCTATTTTAGATGCAATATTTTGTTTTAAACTACGTTTAGTCTTCATTAATTACTTAGGTGTATTAAATTGATAATATTTCAGACATTGTTATAAATGTTTTTATATATTTCGATATTTTAACCAAATGTTCGAACCGTTTTAAAACCTCCGCGGGCGAAGTCGCGGGTAACAGCTAGTCTAAATATATAAAATTACTTGTCCTGACTGCTGACTGAGTCACTGACTGACTGCTGACTGAGTCACTGATTTTGATTCGAACATTTCGAATGGTTCGAACATTTGGTTTAACCAAATGTTCGAACCGTTTTAAATTCGAATTTGTTACTGCATATTAGGGATTGTATACCGGTTTACCGATTTACCGGTTAACCGATAAATTGACAAAAAAACATTCGGTAAACTTACCGGTAAATTTTTGAAATTTACCGGTAATTCGGTAAATGAAAAATCCATACTAGAAATTTCTATGTAGAAAATATTGTGTTTATAGATATTTAAATGGGCTAAAGAGACGTCGAAAAAAAAAAACAGGTAAGTGTAAGCAACAATATACCTCATTATTAATTTTATGTGAAATACTTTTTGTTTAATTTTAATTTAATGACCATTCGTCCAACAAGTGTTAAATCAGAAAGGGTATTCTCGGGATCTGGATTATTTTGTACAAAAATTAGATCAAAATTAGGAGATAAGACTATAAATAATTTAAGTTTCTTGAGAAGTTAATTTTAAAAAATGGTAATCAATAAAATGGTATTAGGTACTATATATTATTTCTGTTGTATTTTTATTTTTCTGTATTATTTTATTTCTGTTTATTTCTATATTTATTATTATAGTTTGTTTAGAATAACACTTTAATTTTTATATTTTTTATATTTGATATCTTTGAAATAAAAATGTGAAATGGAAATCATAATGACTTATATTTTTTGTTACCTTAATTTTATTTTTCAAGAAAAAAACTTACCGGTAATTTACCGGTAAACCGGTATTTTAATTTTCATTTACCGAATTACCGGTAAATGAAAAAGTCGGTAAATTTACAATCCCTACTGCATATTGGTTCGATTATAGAATGATTGTTAACGTTTCAGAAAACTGATCAAATTGAAAATAGTTTGTTTGATTTTGAGCACTTCCCATCATTCTCAGCGATAGGTGTTATATAACAATTACTATGGTTGTTGAAATACTGAATATAAATGGGGTTTGCTTACAAAACCCCCGCGGGCGAAGTCGCGAGTAACAGCTAGTAGTTGCAGATAATTACTGGTTCGCAATGAGTAAAAGGTTGAGAAACACTGTTTTATATTGACTTTTTCATTCTTTAGGTGAATGGTGTTTCCTCAGGAGACAACTTATTCCACAAACTGGCACAGTGTATGACAAGTCCAACGAAAAATCAAACAAAAGTTGGTCAATTTTTTTAAAGTATATGACTTAATTTTACACTGAGTTTACTTTCCTTTCACATATTGTTGAAATGTATTACGTATGTATCAATAGTTAAATGTAACTTTTTGTTTAAAGTGCACGTGCAAATTCAGTGTATGGTGTTGATTTGTGTTGCTCCACACTTGTGTGAAGACTATATTCATTCTGAAATTCAAAACTAGTTTCACTTGTACGATAATTTTTCAGTTTTCTTGAAAAACATATAAACGGGGTTTGACATCAGTAAAAAAATTTGAAAAATTTTGATTCCAATCATCATATGTCTAGATAACCAAATAGTTTTAAATGAATACAAATTTTTATTCAAATGACAATTAGCTATTATAGTTTCAACATCGACTTACTGTATTGAAGCCGAGGTACTGAATTCAGTAACCTCGGCGCAATTTCATCTATTTTATTTATTGATATTTTTGAATGTGTTTCGTTTGTCCATAGAAATTAAAAGGAAACTGTCTACAAGGCTGAAAAGGATCTAATAGACGTAACTGTTTACGAAGTCAGACTTCTAGCCGCCACAGCTAATACTCCCCCACAAATGTTCGCGACACGAAACGAGCGGGAAAAGAGGATACATGTCGGCCGGAGCGTGTAGTAGTTTGTCGGGGTGGCGCTGGATTCTTTACGTCATATTTCGTATTCACTGGTCTCGGCGTTGAGGAGGTTGGGAGTAGATGGTCCGACTGCTTTTTGTGAGAATAAAGGCGGGTTTTGTTCGATCAATGACCGAAAATTACAGTTTCTTTTCCATTTATGCTTAGAGTGAATGTCTTGCAAGTACATGAGAGGACTTTGTAAGGTCCATCGCATGGAGGTTGTAAAGGCTTACGTACCGCGTTACAGCGAATAAATACGTGGGAACACGAGCTTTTGATAGCTCATCGAAAGCGATAAACGGGACATTCGATATGTCTCCTTAACTTAAATATATCTACATCACAATGTTTTCCTGCAACAGCTTTCGGACAAGTACAAGCATAACTATGTTGATGTGGATGATACTGGCCTCCATTTTTACAAGGATTACTTGCACATGTTGTGTTAACGAACCTTAGACAAATCGCTCTTCTCTGCTCCACGTTAACCTAAGTAGGTTTCGCTACGGGTAATTAGTTGAGATGCATCTGGATTCCATGTTATCGATAGCCGTTACAATCACAATTTAGTTAACATTGTCTCTTTGTCATATGACTGCAACCCGCCGTATTCCAAGCGAAACACGTGTTTTTAGTATTGTCGTGTACCAGCTTTAGCAAATTTTTTTGTGTGTCTGTGTTAAAATGTAATCAAAGGAGGGACAACGCAGCCAGCGAACTACGGGCTCTAGCTTTTCTCGTAATTCATTGCATAAGTGTAATAGTAATAACTTCGGAAGACGATAAAGTTCTTTAAATCATTCAGCCGAAAAGCATTATCTTATCTTGAATTGCTCGTGAAGTAATATCAACCTTGCACCTAAAGTCCACATGTTATTTATACTTTTGTTACGTTTCTAACGGCAGCTCGAGAGTGATCGATAAGAAAAGCTTAATTATCGCACGTGGCTATCGGAACCGAAAACGAAACAAACGCACAGAATAGCAGTTTCACAGTTGATTAAACGCCAATCACATGGTTCCGATAGAAACTGGTTTTTATCGTATTGGTTAGCTTAACGATTCAACTCAGAATAGGTCCCCATGTCTGGCAGTCCTTACTGATAGATGGCCAAACGAATTGCTCTTTAACCAACCTGGTTGAGCTCCTTACTCTGGATGCTTCCAGGTTACGAATGGTGTCGAAGGCAGTACGACGATAATTAGACGGAAGGACGAATGCGACCTGTCGATACATCACATTCAATTTCGACATCACTATCAGGAAGTTTAAACTTCTTAATTAAGTATGAGTGATGAGCCACTTGAAGTCAGGAGAGGTTGAGCTCAGGATCTTGCTGTTGTCTTCTGAGATCTTGCTACAATAATATAATCTATAATAATCTATAAAATTTCCATACTCCAATATTCATACTCTCTAGGGAAATATAGAATACCTTAGAATTTCGACATTCCATTTTCTCTCGATTTCATTCTCTCGACACTGTAATAAATATTAATGGTACGCTAAAATGACCAAACTTTTAATATGGTTTCTCATTTTAATGTTTGTCCGTATTACTTTTTAACACGGGCAACGCCGGATCTGTTTGCTAGTTTGCAAATATAGATTTATATCCTTTTAAAATACTGGAGCATCATTTGTATTAAAAAACTAATCCCGAATTTTAGTCTCGATATTCAAAAAAATTGAAACGAATATTATTTTAAATTAGTAATTAATTTTTATGGTCATCTTTATATGGTTAATAAACTACAAGTTTATAATTTTTAAAGTACTAATTTTATTACTATTAAAATATTTAATTGAATAAAAATAAATGTCGATATAAACATTAAAACAGACGTTTCTTTCGAGTCACCGAACCTGTAATGAATGTAATAATAGACATTATCGGTGCCGAAACAGTAAAAAAAATTACCATTAAAATTTAATTTTAATTAATTTAAATTAAACATCTTACTTGTTAGTAAAATAATACAATTAAATTTATTTAATAATTTAAAGAATTATTTTTGAAAAATTTATAAACTGGTGGGTGGCAACAATTAAATGTCAAAGTTTTGTTTACGTTCGCCATTAGTGTCGTAAGTAATCTGGTAGGTGATTATTACATATCGATGTTTGAATTTTTATGATGCTATTTATATGGTACAAAACAAAATAACGATTTAAAAACGAGAACAGAGATGATAACGCTTCTCATTTTAAGTTTCATTGGAGTAAAACTTCTCACGAAGTGTAAACCGATTTTATTTGAAACATTTCAATTTCCAACATTGAATCAGATTATTAATCCATTTCATTTGTTAACAGCAGGTAATTGGCGAATTTGTAATCAAATCGGAAGTAGTTAATGTGTTAAATATATATTTAATTGGTTAGTAAATCTGCTACTTTTAAAATCATCAAATCATATTACAGTACTTGTTAGTTGATTCTTTACAGTAAATAATTAGTGGGAATACATTTATATTTAGTAAATCCAGTTCAATAAGTTAATAAATAATCATTGTTTTAAAATCTCTACATTAGGCAGGTGCATACATAAATAAATGACCTAAAAGTAACTTTTTCTATATATTATATAATATAAATTATGAAATAAATGGTGCTATTCAGGTTTATTTCTGATTTTTTGGTTATGTTGTTGAAATTCTAACTTGTAATTGATTAAAGGTTGTGCTTCTGTCTGATGACATCAATTTTTCTTTTTATTTAAACCTATATATCTACTTCCATAATCACATTATTAACTAGGTTATTTTTTGACACCAGTTTGCTTTGCTTTCAGCTTCAGAATTTTTATTATTGTAATGATCGTTAGAAATCTTGATGAAAACTTTGAAGATATGGCAAATGTGATGGAAATTTTTATAGAAAATTTGTTACAGAGAGATTAAAATGTCTCGTAACCTTTAATAAACTATCTATTTCCACTTAATGATTTTTTGCTTTTTCAAAGTTGGATTTGTACTTTTACACTGTAGTAGTTTAACATCTTCATCATCTAGCAAGTCATTGTTACTTTCCAAAGTTTTTATTCCTTCAGTAGCCCTTTTTATAAACATCTTTTATTGCTTTTAGAAAAATTTATTTATATTCATTTTTTTTTTCAAGTAATGACCACAAAATGAAATGATTTATGCTATCAAAGGCTTATTTGAAATTGACAATAATGCGTACAATTTTATCTCTTTTCATTCGGTTTTTCTTGCATTAAATCATTTAAAATAAAGATATGACCTAAACAGGAAAAATTAGCTCTACTTATACTTGACTTATTAAATTCATTTGATCTGTTGAAATATTTTACTGATTACAGAAATCAGCAGTATTAGATGAGCTAAATCAGTGGTCCCCAACCCCCGGGCCGCGGACCGGTACCGGTCCGTGGATCAAACGGTACCGGGCCGCCCAAGGAACATTAAATTATTTCCATTTTATTTACTATGGTGTATTTCCTCGGGTTTGTGCGACTTTTAATGGACGACGGAACAACAGAATAAACTGGACGTAAGAAACACACTTCGGGTGTCATTGTCTCCTATTACCCCTAGAGGGAACCGTCTCCTTGCAATGAAACAAGCTCAGGGTTCTCATTGATTTAGCGTTCTAGTGAATTAAAATGTTAAATCACATTATATTCATTTTTTGGTGTAACTGTATTTTATTTTGAAGGCATGTTTAAATACAATTAAATTAAAATTATTAAATTAAGTCAATCTAAAATATAAACGATCAACGTCCCCCCTCAGTGGGCCGTGGTAAAATTATCAAACTTTGACCGGTCCGCGGCGATAAAAAGGTTGGGGACCGCTGAGCTAAATCACCTTTAAAGTTAATTAACAATATCTTTTTTATAAAATGGTATTATCAAAATTTGCAGTTCTTTTAATTTCATTAAACAATTCTAACATTATTAAAAATTCATCAAATAAATATTTATAACATTCTGCTGTAATGTGATCTATACTAAGTGATTTAATTGAAGTAAAAGATACATTACATTCTGATTTTACTTTATATATTACATCATTAGTAGATGCAACACTTAAGTCCAAAGAATTAAGTGTAAAGTTTTGTAAGTTTACATCAGAAAAAACTTTCTAGAATAATATGAGAACCAATCAATATCCTTTATTATAGTGTGTATTTTTCATTGTCTTGATTGTTCTAGTTACAAAACCTGATAAGATTTCTGCTTGATCATGGGTAATCTCTTTATTTGAATCTGATGCTTCACTGTGGCAGCAATTTGCCTTTGACCTTCTGATGCCTTCCAATAGTACTTCTGAAGCAAATAAGGTTTCATATTCTGAGAATAGAATCAACAGATCAGTCAACAGTTCAGGTTTTATATTGGCATCAAATCATTAGTTGAAACATTGTTTATTATTGGTTTATCAGCAAGATAAGAACAATTTTCTCTATAATGTGAGGTAGTGGTATATGCCACAATACCAGATGTCAATCATTGAGAATTGTGAACAATGATATGGCTCTGCATGTAATCAAGTATAGCTTCAGATAGTTAATGCAGATATTATTAGCAAAGACAACGATGTAATGCATGTAAAATGAATGAATGTAAGACATTGGTTTCTTTAGGAAATTGTGACTGAGGACTAGTCATTGCTACAGTATTCCAATATCAAAAACTAAACAGACATGATCAATGAATTATTCAAGGATTTTCAGTGGTGTCCTGACCGTACCAGAAATGTCTTTTAACATCAGAGTCAATATCTTGTGTAATTTAAAACACAGGATGTTGGACATTTCTGAACTGCTGCTCCAGTGTGCATGAGGGATTGAATGTTATGTGCATTGACAATGTTAGAAAAGAATCAACAATATGGAAGAGTTGTAAGAGGATTTCAACAAGGTGAGGTTACCTTACCTTTTGAGTTAGTAGTTTTTCAGCAATAGATGACAAACAACAGTTAATAGGTTCCTGAGGCAGATTGAACAGCAAGTGATGTCAATATATAGGGGATTGACAGCTCATGGACTGAAACTATATGATCTTTTCAGGTGTTAGTGGTTGTCCAGACTCCAGAACTCCTCAATAGCAAGAATTAATGTGTTGAAAGAAGAACTGGTCAGTCTTTGCTGGGATCTGTCTCAGCAATAATGTTAGTTGCATCCTGCTGTCCACAGTCAAAGCAGATGGGAATTCAATTGGTAGTTTGATAGATGTCTGTACATCTTACTTTGGCAGAGCAATTCACCAACAATGATGGTGTCTATTCTTTGTTAGTGAAACATACTGAGGCAGCCATGCAGTTGGTTCCCACCATCAGGAAAAATATAATTTAATAACTCCTCTCACATTAGCATTATCAGCTCTCTCCTTTATCTCTGTTTGTCATAGCCATGTTTGGAAGCTGACAAAAAATTTTATGATGTTCACTTAACATCGGGAATTTTCAACTGGCAGTAGGATAAAATAAATTCAACTGTAGTTGAAATTACATTTAAGAAATAATAATCCAGGATTCTAAAGTTCATTAAAAACACAAACATAGGCTATTTAAAACGGTGTCTTGACTTGTCCTTTTTCAATCCATGAACCAATCTAAAACAAATCCTGGTGTGAAGAAGGACAGGTGAAGACACCATTTTGGATAATCTACATTTATGTTTTTAATATAGTAGAAATATTGATGGTGGGATATTAAAAAAATCTTTGATTGTTTCCTTTATCAGATGTTCCAACTTCTCATTGTGGGGTATATTTGAGTTAACTATTTGATATTGGACAAAGATTTGCTATCCTTGTACTATTCTACCTAAGATTTACTATCCTTGGTTGTCTCTTGAGCTCAGGTCTCCAAATAATGTATTGTCATATATGCTCTCTTGACAGGCCTTGAAATCATAAAAATATTGGAATGTTATACAGTTGCTGATTTGGCTTTAGTAAATCAATGTAAAACTGTTCCTTCTAGAAAGAATTAGACATTATCTCACTCTTTATCTTGAAACTTTACTTGTTGTATCTGTACATATTGGAACATTCTGTTGAGATATTCATTGCTGATTGTAACCCTCTTGTATTCCAATCAGCAATGAATATCTCAACAGAATATTCAACAATTGGCTAAACAACCAACATCTGCAGACTGGTATTCAGATCTATGCTTCATTTGCTTGGAACAGCTTTGGATTTATTAGCCATTTCAATTTGATCTGAGTTGGGTCATTGAGAAGTTGATGAAAGATTGAACTTTAGATTTAATTCTTGTAAATGATGACTTTTGTACAGTATGACCATGATTATTTTTCTTCTGGCACTCCTGTCATATTGTGTGCCTCTTCCAAAATATCACAGGATAAAGGATGGTTTTTCAAAAACATAACAGATTTTAATAAAATGATTAGAAATAACAAATAATCAAGTAGATTTCAATAACTTTATCTAAAATTTAGAAACCAGAAAGAATCAAACAACAACAAAATGCATTCTAGAACTCAATTGTCAAAATGTATTTTTACATTGAATGTGTTTTAGTGTTTTGCATAATGAAAAGAAGAGAACAAAATTTATTGTCTTCATCCTAAATTTTAAATTTAAAAATTAATTTAATATATTTAATTGCCAGGACATTAATACAATATAATAATAATAATCACAAATTAGAAGTAACAATAAATGTCTTCATATTTTGTCCTTTTTCAACATCTCAGGAACAAAACAGCTTTCATGATGGAGTCAACTTTTTGTTTCAGGCTATATATCTGCCTTGATATCTGGAAATGTTAAAAGAGTTCCAGCACAATCATAAAAATCTATTATGAGGTGTTGAAAAAGGAGAAAGATATGAAGATCTTTATTGTTATTCCTAAGTTGTGAATAAAAAGTTATTTATTTATTTCTAATCATGGCTTTCAAAACTAATTGTTTTATGAGCAATGAAAGTTTATATCAAAATTTTATTATGATTAGTTAATGGCTCAGTTTATAAATTAACTTTTAAATGTAGTTAACTTTAAAATTTTAACTTTTAAATTACAATAACTTGTCATTTTAGAGAGTCAATTATATAAATTTTTAAAAACACTAATACTACTCATCTAACACTACTTTTAAATGATCTTTAATAATTCTACTGATCTTATACTAATCTAATTATTTGTTATATATCTACTAATATAATTATTTGTTATTATTTTTTTATTTAATAATGTTGTATTTTTTAGGAACTGCTAGTTCCAAGACATGAATTTTTGTATGAAGATAAAATGTGGAGACATCCATATAGAATAGAAAGCATGGGCCGACAATTTTCATTTCATGAAGAAGCATCACTTGTATATTACAATCCTGGTATCTTGGTTCATGTAGATGATAACTTTTATCAAAGAAATGCAATAAATTTTGCAAATTACAGACAATATGCATATCCAGGTGCTTATAAAAGATATCCAGATTATTATTACAGTGATGTTAGAGAACGAAGGCGATTTTATCCCAATCCTTATTTACCAAATCACTTAACACCAGATGATTTTGAAGATGATCAACCTCCAAGAAAAAGATTAAAAATAGAAAATGGTTCTAACATCTATAATAATGACTTAAATTATATAACCAACAAACATAAAATTTATGATCACCAAGAACAACAAAGCAATGAACCTGTAATACAAAATCCACAGTTTGCTGAACAAAAATTAGATCCTCTAAAATTGAGTGAACAATTACAAAAACATTTTGGAAAACCATCATCATTTTCTCAGTCTACTGTGAACTCATCTGATGAAACTAATTTAAACCATTCAATTACAGAGAGTCATAATAGTGGATTGTTGGTAGAACAAATGAAAGAAATTTATGACACACTCATTGCAAAGGATGATCCAAAAAATTCAGGTAAATTTTTGTGTGTACAGTTAATATACAAAAGAATTTACTAATTGCAATCACTTTGGGACTCACCTCTACTGATAACAGAGATCAGTTGATAACATTAAGGTAAATAAATAAGGTTACAATTAGTATAAGTTTTGATTTTATTGACTCTGACATTAAAAGGACATATTCAAGTTATACATTTTTGAGAATCTCAGCACAATGTGACTAGAGGGTTTGGTGAAAAAGACACACAATTTGAAAAAAGTCTCTTAATGATCAGACTGACATGATGTTCATGACATCAAAAGGGATCTTGTAACAAAATAAAGGTTTCTTTAACTTGCTAAGAATCTCATTACTTCATTTGTGACCTCAGACAAAGCTTACGTGTTAACTGAATTAAGAAATGCCAACATGAAAACTAGTAGAAATGCAATCCACTCAAAATTTAAATACAAACAAATGAAATTTATTGACAATTTCAATTTAAAAGTTTCTTAGTGTTGGGTCATTAAATTATTAACATATTTATACAATTATTTCAAAATTCCTTTACTTAAAAACTTTAACAACTACTAATTGCTTTCATCCATTCCTATAGCAAATAAATTACTACATATATTGGTTCTTTAATGAATATAAATTATTTACATTAGTAATAAATATTATTACTATGCTTAATAATGTTTATTATTAAGTAAATTAAGAGAAAATATGGTAAAATATTGTACAAAACTTAATAGACTAATTACACACTTATTAGTGGAGTAGGCATTTTTAGGCACTATTACTTTTTGATATATAAAAAATCATCATCCTGTGATCTATGTTTTGATACAAAAAACACTAAAATTGAACTAAATGAACAAAATAGGCATTTAGGGCAATGTTGTGGTGTTACTAAAACTTTTAGTCCTTTGAGCAACATATGGTAAAGGTCCTCCAATGCTTAAGGCCTAGCCCTCCATATTCATGTTGGTATAGGAATAAACAAAATTTAAATTATTAGAAAATATCAGTAGCTATATTAAAAATTTCTTTTGTTGTAAATTAATATCAAACAAAATAAGAAAAAAGAAACATAACAAAAGTAATCTAAAAAAGTTTTTTTTAAACAAAATAAAAATTACAAATATACACACTAATCGAAACCTGACATTAAGCAAATATACTCTCACAACTGCCATAAATGATTGGACTAAATTTGGATATAATGATTATAAATTAGAAATGAATTTGGCACTAGAGTGAGGTGTTAGGCACCATCTTGTATTGAAATTAATAATTACAATATTTAATTAATAAATTTGGGTCAAAGAAAAGAATCAGCCTGCTTTGGGCCAATTATTTTCTTCCAGTTTAATCTAAATTTATTAATTAAATATTGTAATTATTAATTTCAATATAAGATGGTGCCTAACACCTCACTCTAGTGCCAAATTCATTTCTAATTTATAATCATTATATCCAAATTTAGCCCGATCATTTACGGCAGTTGTGGGAGTATATTTAAAATAAAATTAATATTTAAATATATTTCATATAAATGATGCCATTGGATAATATATACTTTTTCATCACATTACTGGCTACAACCAGACCTTGTTGTTTTTTAAAAATAAAAATACAGCATTTCCAAGAAAATAATAAAATAATTCCAAAAACAAAACCATATTCATAAATTTTATTATTATTATTATGTTGGGTTTTGTGAGTTATACTCGGTTCACACCGGTGGCTGTGTACTATGCCGGACCAAAGTCAAGGCATAGCAACCAAAACAAAACTAAAATATCACTTATGGTAGCTGCTATTTCGTTGTGTATGTCTCTCTTTAATCCGATCAATTCAGTTCGGTAGACTATCAATACAGCTTTCAGGTTAGATACTACTTTTATTGTTTTGACATATGCATTTCGGACTTATATGTATTTTAAGTCCCTCTTCAGTTCAAAACTACAAATTATTTAAAAATAATACAATTAGTAAGATGACAAATTCTTCGCGTGTAGATCATATTTACTGACATAAAACTATTGTTTTTAAAAATTGTTACACTTATACGTTACCTAAGGTTCTGTCTTTTAAAACCACGGTGTATAACGGGTAACGTTGGAAAGAGTTTAAAATACCGCCATTTAAAAACACTTCAAATACATTTTCACATTAATATGGTATTATTATACTACATATTATTAATCTGTAAAAAGATCATAATTGCTGCGACATTATATTGTAGAACATACACAATTTTTAAAAGTTGTAATTATACAAGATTTTATGAACACAGGTTAAAAGTGAGTATCATGTTATATTGTTTCTGTTAAAATATATGGTGTTATAAAGTAAAAATTATAAATGTATTGATATATTAGGTTTACCGTATTAATGTGAAAATGTATTTGAAGTGTTTTTAAATGGCGGTATTTTAAACTCTTTCCAACGTTACCCGTTATACACCGTGGTTTTAAAAGACAGAACCTTAGGTAACGTATAAGTGTAACAATTTTTAAAAACAATAGTTTTATGTCAGTAAATATGATCTACACGCGAAGAATTTGTCATCTTACTAATTGTATTATTTTTAAATAATTTGTAGTTTTGAACTGAAGAGGGACTTAAAATACATATAAGTCCGAAATGCATATGTCAAAACAATAAAAGTAGTATCTAACCTGAAAGCTGTATTGATAGTCTACCGAACTGAATTGATCGGATTAAAGAGACACATACACAACAAAACTAAAATTAAATAAGTGTGTCAGTGTGTGTGTCTGTATTCAGGAATTTCCTAACAATGTGGCATGTATTCAATATAGTGGCCTTCTGTAGTGTGATGTATGTATTTCTACTCAATTGTAATGTTCCCAGGCTTTTGTGTAGTGTGTGTGTACAGGAGAGAACGACAGGTACAATAAGCACCCTTTCCATCCTCCACAGATGCCTTATTTCCTGGGTGAGTCCTGTGTACTTGCTAATTTTTTCAGTGCATGTGTTTTGTACATTGTGAGTGTTTGGAATGGCTATGTCTATAATGTATGTGATTTTATTGTGTTTGTCAATGAGTGTGATATCTGGTCTGTTGTGATAAATTGTTTTATCTGTGATTATGGCTCTGTCATAGTACATTTTGTGCGTGTTGTTTTCCAATACTGTTTGTGGAATATATTAATACTTGTAGTATGGCTCATGAATGTCTACCAAGTTGTGTTTCTTTGCAAGCTCTTGGGTATTATATTTGCTACTTGATTATGTCTGTGTAAATAATCTGTCTGTGCCAAGAGCTTGCACCCAGAAGTCATGTGTTGTATAGCTTCTGGCACGATGTGACATTTTCTGCATATGTCATTTGTGAGTGTTGTATCTTTGAGTATGTGTTTTCTGTAGTTTTTAGTATTTATGACCTGATCATGTATGGCAATCATGAATCCTTCCGTCTCCCCAAAGAGGCATCCCCAATCTAACCAGCTGTTTGANGCGACATAAAAATTTCATTTAATATCAATCAAATGAACGGATAGACCAAATTCGTGTCAATTTGTTGGGAGTAGATTTTAAGTAGCGTTTATTTGGCGATTTAAAATTTTTTACACGCCAGAATGATTTTGTTCCTAAATTACTTGTAATTACAATTTTTCTATGTATAAAAATTTCAACGTATATTGTTTGAATTTCGTATATTTCATATCGATTGGATTGTTTGTGTACGGCAACGCGACACGTGGGCGATCTCCTGAGAGGGATGACTTCCGAAAAAACTTTCTATGGGAGACTGCCCATAAGTGTTACAAACGGGAAATTCCACATGGGTTGATTTTGACGAGTCTTGAACCCATAACCAACTAATTACCAGTGTTCAGTGGTTTTATCCGCTTGGCCACTGTTGGATATATTTTTATGTCAAATTAATGAATTTCTGTTACTATATTTCAATGACAACAGTCATTATTTATGCATTATTTTTACTCAATTATGTAATTTCTGATATCTTCATCTGTATGTATTATTTGTACTCATTGCTAAGTTGACTAGCACAAATAAAGACGTTTATTTAATTTAAAATATAAATATGCTTCGTAGCCTATATGAGTGTTTTCGACTTGATTCATTACTTTATAAATACGTTTTACAAATCTTCAGACTCGATTTTCTCATTTAAACGTCAATTCGTAATTATATTAACTATAGAAAGTCCGAAAATTTCTCAGGATATCAGTGGTCACGTGGCTGATATGAGTGACAACGAAGCGGACCACGTGACGCGTTTTATATGTGCCAGATAGAGCGCCCGCCGTCCAACGTGATCCTTCACGACGGACACGAGGTCAGGATGGTGCGGAGTCGGTAAGTAGTCGTACGGTTTTTTTGTTTATAGCGTTTTTAATATGGGTCGGCAGCAACAAGGTACAGTAATACCCCGAACTTACGCGATAGGTGGGACCGAGCAATAACCGTGTAAGTCGAATTCGCGTAAGTCGGGATATAATTTCACAATTTGTGTAAAATCTAAGTCGGATGTATGTAAGCTAATAAATGTTCTCGTTAATCTTATCTCGTCTTTTGATTCGTTCCCGGTTACAAGAAATCACCACATACAGTCTCTCGAGTCTCCGTAGATATAACAAACACAGAAATAAATAACACAAACTAAATTGTGGCTTTGTGTCGATTCTGCGCGACACGTCCGAACATGTAAGCTGAACAATAATAAGGGGGAGTGAGTAATTAAGAGCTGCGTGACGCTCAAACAAAAGACGAATCGACGAGATTTGAAAATCGCGTAACTCCGGGTTCGCGTAAGTCGAGGTATTACTGTTTGTCATTCGATCCTACTGATGTTTAGATCTAACATTAAGCAGGCAAACACGAACAGTAACAAAAAAGAACTTTATTAGAAAAGGTTAGAACTGTCACAGACATCCTCGGGCAACACCCGGACAAAATCCAACGAACTTTCGCGCCTTTTCTTTTTTTGACGTTGTCAGCCACTCTTGTTGGCAAGTGTTGCCAGTCAGAGTTCGTCATCTTGGCAAGTGTTGCCAG